TTATTATTATCATCATTATCATCATCATCATCATCATCATCATCATCATCATCATCATCATCATCATGATATTATTATTATTATCAACTATCATCATCTTCATCATCATCATCATCATCATTATTCTTATTATTATTTATTTTTTTTATTATTATTATCAAAAAAATGAATAACCGATTGAGCATTAGAATCAAAGTTTTGCCTATGAAAAAGTATCAATGGTTATGTTATACATATATGCAAAGTTATATATATTTATAGATACAATGTACATGATATTTCCAATTTAATATTGCATTATTTTGGATCGAATAAAGGTCTTAGTATGCTGGTTTTTACGCATTATCACCGACCTTAGTATAAATCCGTGGCATTATTAATGCTAAATGCTTTATCACACAAACGGTATCTAGGCATATCAAGCGTTTTCAAAACAGCCAATGAGTTTAAAGCGTTGGTTTTGAATCACGTGAATCCTATCAACCAATCAGAAATAGCGCGGGCGAAATGAAAAAAGAAAAAACGGTATTGGAAATGGGTAGTAAATAAAATTCAGAATATTGCAAAACAAGGTAGGTTAAAAGTTATTTTTCATCGTTGCAATATCAATATGCGATCAATAGAATAGTTGCATTATGTGAACAACAGCTTATTTCAGGGTTAAACTGATTTGTTTTTAGAAAACTTTAACACTGTTTAATCTGTTTCGCTATCCAATATGGCCGCCGGATTAAAGCAGGGATATATCCCTAAATTTAGACTGGGAGGTTACGAGTTTGATTTTGATTTCTAAACTGTATCTTGTTTCATAAATAATTTGTATGAAAAATGCAAAAACAAAATAATGAAAAGGGCATTTGTTAAATGCGTTAATCATAACTCCCTTCAGGGTAAAAAAGACACCGAGTTAAAAGTTACGACATTTAAACACCGAAGATGTCAAGGTATTACAGCCCCTGGACATGGTAGTACAAAGGGATTAATCAGTTTGTGTGACACGACCTATGTATGCTTGATTGGTCAACTGATTGGACTTTATAATCTTAAGCGATCTCAATTATCACTTAACAGCAGGGGTGCGAATCAATGTGAATGTGCAAGAAAGATCAAAGAAAGATGTGTTCTGTAAACAAGCAAGATGGCCGACATGTGTTGACGCATTTCTTATCGGAAAAGAAAATTAGTGTTTTCAATAGATATTTGATGGATATAAGGATTTTTATGAAGTGAAAATAACAGTTAAGTGTCACTAACATATATCACTGATTATAAAGCATGATATATATTTAAAAATGGCAAAATTTAGACAATCATTGAAAATGTATTGTTCCTGAATATCTAGACTATATATAAATTGAAAACTTTAAAAAGAGAAGGGGTCACGCTAGATGTTCTCACATATAGCCGGAGGGCATATGAAACATTTAATCGCAACTCTTCGGATTATCCTAAAATAGCCTATAATGGCCAGCATTATTCTTTCGCCTGATCCTTCGATGCCCCGAGCACTGACTGCTGTAAAAGTCAACAGTTATGCGCACCTAGAACAAGAAAGTATCAGCTTAAACAATAATAACAATAAATTTGTTACTTTATCGGCTGTTCCACTGACTCAGTACTGTACTTTAACAAACGAAAGCATACATCATGGTGACAATCAACAGACTGCGAATAATGATGAATCATTATTCAATTACGACGATGAACATTATCTGTATGATACTGAGGAAAACTATGATAGTCAACCTGTCTCAATTCAACAATACATCTACACTCTGGATGAAGTTCTTTTTAATTTGCCAAAAGACTTATACATTGAAAAACTAATTCAGCTGACACATAGCAATGAAGATGAAATTGCACTATACAGAAGTATTCTCTTACAAAAAGCACAAAAATCTGACCTGTGTCCTAGAGGTTCTTTAATACACCGTCGCACGACAAAGTCTGAAAAAAGCTATCACAGATATGCAGTAGATTGTTACGCTCTACAAGAATTCATAAATAACAATGACCCTAAAATTCTAGCAAACATGTTTACATATAAACGTGTAAAATCAGAAACTATTGATGACTGCACTTCAAATCCCGACTGTGTCAATCAGAGTATTATGTTAAAGATAACTGAAATAGAAAGTAACTTACATCTTGCCAGACAGACAATAGACCGTCTGCAAGCCGAGAAACTTCAAGATAAAATCATTCTTCTTGAACTAAAAGATGACATAAAACATCTAAAGCAGACTCTTGAAAACAACTCGCAGGTACGAGCACAAGGTATAAAAGAAAACGAGACAATAGCAAAAATGAAAATCGACATTGAGCATTTAAAAAGAAAACTTAACGAAAATACAAATAGCTTAAATAGTAAGTGTTTAAACAATGGTAATATCGCATCCTGTGAATCCACTGAAATCACTAAATCCAAAAAATCACCAGAAAGTACACCGTCGCTTTTTATATCTGTGGAGCAGAAACGCCAAAAAGACACTAAAACTCAGAGTAAAGAATCGACAAATTTGAAAGATAAAACATTGAATTATTCAAATCTTAAACCGAAAGAATCACAAACCTACACAACACAGCAAAAACAAGATGTCAAAAATCCAAAAGACTCTCAAACACAACAATTGTCATATGCAGATGTCGTGAAACAACCAATACCAGTTTGTATAAGAAATAGACAGGAAAAGAGGGATAACTCTACACAAAATGAATACCACGAAAACACCGAATCATCATCTACTCAACTATATAAGTCCTCTTTCGATGCAGAAAGTGAGAATCAACATCAAAAGAGTTATCCTGTCTTTGAAAGTGTCCGCTCCCGCAAAACAAGGCGGTATTATGTTGGAGGTATAGCTTCCTATTCAAATAGAGATGGCATAATCGAATACCTTAAAGAAGATAAAGTCACACCTGTAGGAGTTAAACTTATAGACACCCATCGTGGTAGTGTATCAGCAAAAATAACTGTCTACCAAGATCAATGCTATCTTGTTGAAGATAAGAAATTTTGGCCCGCAAAAATATACTGTAGAAGGTGGTACTCCGAACTTGAATGGGAGTCAAAGTTTTACACATACAAAGAGAAAGAAGAACAGGACTGTCCGTCAGTTGATAACTAACCCACTTCATGATATATACAACAACACTAAGTATTATTATACCTACATGTTAAATGACATACAACAATATAGTTACTGATACCAAAATGTACTGCAACGTTCTCACATGGAACGTTCGTGGGGCCATGTCATCAGCTGGAAGTATAAGCTATCTACTTGATAAATATAATATAGATATAGCGTGCATCATTGAACATAAGCTTAAGCCAATTACCTCCTCATTTCTAGATACAATTCACGGGAATTATAAGGCTCTAACAGTATGTGATGAAAGTTTGGTAAAATGCGGCAAAGGAGGTGTGAGCATCCTTTATAAGAAATCACTTGCTTTTAGTACAAAATCAATATTAAACACAAACTCTCATAGAATTGTTGGTATTCAACTGTATTGTGAAAATATGCTTCCAGTATATATCTTCAGCATTTATATGCCATCTGTGAATTATACCGAGGAAGAATACAAAGAATGCTTAGACAACTTACAGAGTCTTTACGATACCTACTCACCCTTGGGAACCGTTCTTTGTTGTGCTGATTGGAACGTAAATTTACATTTTACAGAATCTTTTGACAAAAGGACAACAGCTCTGATACAGTTCCTTAATCAAAACAATTTGAGAGTAACACGAACGAATGGACTAGATTATACCTTTAAGCCAACACGTAAAATGCTAGACGGGGTTATGATTTCTAAATCGAGAAATGACTTAATTACTAAATGTAACATTATAGATGACGATTGTTGCTCAGTTTCGGATCATCAACCGATATGCACTGTGATAAGTGGATCTATCATGGCGTATATCTCGAAAACTGATCATATAGCATGGAATAAATGTACAGACAATGATCTTCAAATGTACTCATATTATCTAGAAACAAAATTATTAGAATTTGATTTAAGTGATTTTGTTCCTAGTCCTCATGGCATCGAAATTCTGTATTCTCATATAGTGTCAGCAATTCAATGTGCCTCAAAAAACGCCTTACCAAAAAGCACTTATAATGAGCATGCAAAGCCCTACTGGTCGCCAAAACTAAATTCTGCCCATATTGAACAAAGAAATGCAAGAAGACAATGGATTTTAAATGGGAGATCACGTGATCAGACTGATAATAATTATATTCTGTATAAATCTGCAAAGCGACATTTTATAAATACACAAAAAGAGGAAATACATATGTTTCGTGATAAATATTATGAAGAACTCAATACAACGGCAGAATGTGACATGCGCCTTTTCTTGAGCTTATTTCGCAGAAAAAATGGCAAATCAGCTTCAGACGTAACAGATCTAAAAGACAATGACATTCTCACGCGTGACCCATATGAAATTGCTGAAATTTTCAGGAATTATTTTGGACAGGTATTTTCGCCAAAAAATAATGAAAAATTTGACTCAAAATTCTTAGATCAATTAGACATTGAAGTGAAAAAGTTCTTAGAATCAGATGACTATAAAGACGATGAAATTTTATCTGAAGCGGTGAAATTATCTGAAATCGAAAGTGCCATGAAGTCGCTTAAAAAGCGCAAAGCACCGGGTATTGACAAAGTCGTAAACGAGCATTTACTATTCGGTGGTGATGTTTTAAATAAATATCTTCAAAAACTGTTTTCTGCTATGATTCAAACATCATATATACCTTGTTACTGTAAAATTGGTATAGTTATTCCTATATACAAAGATGGAAAACCGAAAGATGCGCCAAAAAGCTATAGACCAATTAGCCTTTTACCCGTAGTATACAAAACATTTGAAAAGATACTGCACGAACGATTAGATGTATGGACCCAAGCCAATAGAAAGAATTTTCCAAACGAGCAGCAAAATGCTTACCAAAAATACTTTGGTCCCTTAACGGTTTCATTTAATCTTCAAGAAACGATTGCTCATCAGTGTGAACTAAATTCGAATACTTTTGCTATGTTTCTTGACACAGCTGGTGCCTTTGATAATGTTAGACATAATGGGCTATTCATAAAATTGAAAAACTTTGGAATTCATGGAATATTTTTAAGAATGCTCATAAATAGTTACACTGGCTTAACCGGACACATCTTAGTCAACGGAATCTTGTCTGAAAGCTTTAAAATACAACAAAGTATTCGTCAAGGAGGAATTTTATCAACATGGCTGTATCTCCTTTTTATAGACGAACTTCTTCAGTCATTACAGCTAAGTGGTCATGGAACGGTTATTGAATCCATAAGAAGTGGTAACCCAACGCTAGCGGACGATATCGTTATTCTGTCGCCAAACATTAAATCTCTTGAACACCAGTTGAATATAGCGAACAAATATGCATTCAGATGGGGATATGAATTCAATGACAGTAAATGCAAATTAATGCACTTTGGTAATTCTGGCAGACATGCGTTTAAAGATATAAATATTAATTTCGGAAGTGCTTCCCTACGTCCGGTGGACTCGGTTACCCACGCCGGCATTGAATTACACAATTCGCAAAAATGTTCAAGTGCTGTAGAAGCGCGTATCCGAAAAGGCCGCTCATCTCTATTTTCTATTCTATCTATCGACGAGACTCCTGGCGACGTGAATCCCTTAGTTTTGGCCTCTTTAGTGAAAAAAGTTACATTTCCAACTGCCTTTTACGGAGCGGAATTATAGAATGATTTGACAGACACTGATATCCTTAAGATGGAAAGATTATTCCGGTTAGCTGCCAAATGCATTCAACACTTTCCTAGAAGAACTCGAACTGATATGGCTCTAAGCATGCTGGGATGGTTACCTGCTATAGCAGAAATTGACAAACGAAAGCTTAATTTCCTGCAGAAACTGTGCACAATGCCTTCAAATTTATTGACAAGAAAAAAATTTAATTTCAGATTACACCTATATGCAAACAGACAGTTTAGCGGACAAAGCGGATATATACCTGACGTCTGTAGAATTCTAAGAAAATATAACCTTTTCCATATTGTTGAATCCTACTTACAAACAGCAATCTTTCTTGACAAGTTACAATGGAAACGAACAGTTTTTAACGCTATACGCAAATATCATACACAGCATTGGTCAGAAAGAATGAATAGCGATGATGATTTTGTACGCTTTAAAACTTTACATACCGATATAAGCCCATCAATACTATGGAGAAATTCCGACTCTCTAAACTCAATAAAACACGCATTATGTACTGCTAAAGTCCTTGTTGAGGCAAAACAAAGTGGTGTAAAAACATGCAAGAAATGTGGTTCTCAAACAAGTGACCTAAATCTCCATGTAATATCAAAATGTATTTCACTTAAAAAGACTCGAACAACTTTCCTTAATAGTGTTGAAAAACAATATAGTTGTGAACTCAGTAACTTCCTGAAAGGATGTAACAGCGAGACGTTTTTAAGAACTATCTTAAATCCTCGTGCCTTGGATATATATGACATAGTTGAATTTCTCCAAAAAGACTTCATACAAAGTGCTTGTAAGTTTATATACGATTGTTTAGTTTTTAATAACTAAACGTTTTATCTAAATAAAAACAAGGACTTCAAATGACAGAAAATATTTAAGCGGTATTGCCTAATTTACATCGCTTATATTTCGTTTCGGTAAGATGTGTGATACTAGGTTGAATACTGAGGCATTTTAACCATATATAATTACATTGCATTATCAGTATGATAACTCAAATGAAATTTAAATATGAAATATGTATAAAACAATTATATAAATGTGTTTTTATTGTTACGCTTAAATACTTATTGCTCTAAGATAACCTTTGATATAATGCTAATATAATCATATAGAAATATAATCATATAGAAGCTTATACATGTATATAAAACCATTTAACTTGAACTTAATTGTTATGTCTCTTTAATAATATATAAATGTACATTTGTCATAATCATGTATCATATGCTTGTATATATATTTCATGTTGTATATGTTGTAATCGCTGAAAAGCGGAAATAAAGAGTATATGAGCCGCGTCACGACAAAACCAACATAATGGGTTTGCGACCAGCATGGATCCAGACCAGCCTGCGCATCCGCGCAGTCTGATCAGAATCCACGCTGTTCGCTATCGGTTTCTCTACTTGTTATAGAGTTTGTAAGCGAACAGCATGGATCCTGATCAGACTACGCGGATGCGCAGGCTGGTCTTGATCCATGCTGGTCGCAAGCCCATTGTGTCGGTTTTGTCGTGACGCGGCTCATATGTTTATTTTTACATTGATACGAAGCTTAGATCAGGAGCCTGTTGTCGGTGAAATAATTTTAAAACTCGTGAATATAAAATATCGCAACGAACCAGAAGTTTTAAAACGGTTTTGTTTGTATTGTTTTAGCATTAATAGTAATTAGCAAGATCGAGTTTACTCGCTATTCAGGACAGACACTCTTGGTTTTCATTCGATATTTTTGGTTATTTAACATAACATAACATAATATTTATTCAGCATTAAATGTTACAACACTTATAGCCATTTCAATATATAATACAAACATATAAGGGCAAGTACATGGTTAACAGAGAATTATATACAAATGATTTATACAAATTAATCCTAAATTATTATTTTTTAACAGAGTGAACATAATTAATTGTAAAGTATTTTCTTAACAATATTTTTCATCATTATTACCATTTATCTGTTGTGTTATTTCTATAGTAAAACATATTACAAAGAATTTTTTTTTCTTGTTACGAGCAACATTTATGTTTATTGAATACATTTTTGTAAAACAATTCAAATATGGAGATCCATTTCATTGTGTTTACATTAACTTAAAATACTTACAAAAGATAAAAAGAAAACAAAGCAGTGAACATCAGGTTATGATAATGAAATTCGTTTTGGAATAAAGAAGAATTATTGCATATGGAAAGCTTTGTATACAAATTTGCTGACATCCAAACTACTTTTAACAGAGTCTAAATTCATAAGTGAGATAAATTTTTGCTTAGTAGGCCAATGGCAAAAATATGGATTAAAGTAGGTTTTTCTTAAGTTAGTATATTTGGGCATACTAAAAGAAAGTGGTACTCGTTTTCTATAACATTCATATTACAATTTGAACATATTCTTTAATTTCTGGGAATATTTAAATGTCTACCTTTTTCAATCATTAAATCATGAGATGATAGTCGGAATCTTGTCAGTGCTATTTTAAATTTACTATTAGGTATTACATCTAAATATCGTTCTACTTTTAATTCTTTCTTATACCAGCTTTATGACTGTAATCTATTTGAAGTTCTAATTTCAGCATCCCATGATTGTTTATATATATCAATTATTCTTTGTTTAATAGTTTGTAAAGATACGATGTCAGCATTTTGGGATAGCCAAATGTTTGACATACCAATTCATCGAAATTTATTTATCTACGCTATTCAGGATTACCCAGATTTGAAATTGTATATACATGAACTGAGTTTTCGACATTTACAATGGATTTTCTTTTGGACAAATTAAAATTTAAATATTTTTTTCTTATTATAATTAAAACTCTTTGTTTAGTTTTTAAGATAAACATTACGCATTAGGTGATATCGCATGGGTCAGTCACAAACACGCGTCTGTTTGAGGAAACAGTTATTTAATATTTCATTATACATGAATTTAAACGCTTGAAAAACTATATTGAGCCTTTGTTCATCACACATTTTTCGACATTCTATATTTTGACTTATATTTCACATAAAGCAATATGGTAATACTCTCACGCACGAACACACAAAATACATAACTACACATGCACATAAAAGTGAACACGTTCCTACAGTATTAACACTTTCGCATATGTGATCACTTATGAAATATGTTCAATGTGCTCTTTATCATTTTATGCTGAAGTTATATTACGATTTTTCAGTACAGTTAAATCTTCTAGAAATGCAGCTGTGCCCTCTTTACAGCAATTGTAGATGAAGCAAAGTATGGTAGCAAGTTATATAGATGTAAGTTCACGTATATATATTGTTGTGTTTTGTGAATAGAATAAGACAATTACACGGACATACTGTCTGTAAAGAAGAGTTACCCAGACTCATATATGTTCCACTATGTACTGACATCATGTGTTTAATTCTTTCTCAAGGCAAAGTCAAATTTCCTTAATTACACGCATTTATTTTGACAAGAATAAATGTGGTTAGTTATACATACATTGGTTCTCTTTTATATCTTGTTAGAATCAATTCTTAGGCGGAATGATGTCACACTTCATAAAATGATGTCAATTAAGGCATATATGATATAAGCATTTTGCCGCGCATTTGAAAATGCTAAACCATACAAGTCTTGCTTTTAATATGCAAAAATCAAATATATAAAATATAAGAATTAAATCGAACACACACAATGGTTTGACATAGATGCAATGTGCATGCGACTTTATTTTATTAAATTTGTTTTCTTTTCTTAAACATATTACTGTATCAAAAAATATTCAAGAATTCAAAAACCTAGCTAAACGCCGTTTTCCGGTACTTTCTGTACATAGCTCTGGGGAATTCACCTAATGGATTGTAATAGCGAACTCGATGTTTTCGGCCTTTTTTAATTTTTTTAAAATTAAATTGAAATAAAACTGTTATTTCTTTATAAGAAAATAATTAAATATCATTGTATGAATAATTCCATACAAAAAATAAAGTAAATACACAAGTTTACGCAGAAAATAACCTTATTTATTATGGAAGATTCCACTACGTCTGTTTAAATTTTATTGTTTTTCATCATAAACAATTTATTTTTTTTGAAAAATTTGAGAGGATATTAAATGAATATAATTGATAATTTTCAAAAACATATTTTTTTACCTTAAACGGTATAATAATACTAGAAAAATAGAAATATCATGTAACTGTGTTATGTATTTCATTTGGTGTAATTCCCCAGAGCTAAATCCGTAACGTACCGGAAAACGGTGTAAAGCTAGGTTTTCGAAAAGGTCTTCTTTCTTTACAGTTTAATCACTTTTATATATGTTATTGATATGTAGTAGTCATAGTACTTTTGCAGTGCAATAGTATTTCGTGCAAACTTAACTATAGTTGAAACAGTCTGTGTACAGTATCATGCATTGGTATAAGTTTGCACCAACTTGCTAAATAGGGCTAAATATAGCTACATTTAAAACAAAATGAGAAGTTAATAGAAAATATCACAGCATTTATAATCTTTTCAATAAATGATACAAAACTTTCCTACCTGATTGATAATTATAAAGCAATATTTTTGGGGAAAAGGTGCAATTCGAGCCTAGTTGTCTTGCATTGATATTTACCACAACCTTACCTACTGCATTACGCTGAGAGTTGGTAAATTTGTTGATAATTTAATTTATATAGCTAGCCTGTTTGAAGATAATAAACACAATATGATAGCTGTTTTACACCTGGATAGTGGACTTGACCACCTCGTCACTTAATTATCATACTAAACGCACAGTACTTGTGCGCACGTGAAACATATTGCGTTGATACGTAAATATTTCACGTGCGCACGTAATAGTCGCATTCGCATGTATTAACTAAAATATTTCCTATGTTATTTTATGCAATTGTCACATATGATACGTTTGTTTTATTATCTGAATTTGATTTCATACTATCAGATTAATGCTATAGGCAAGGGAGGATATTTTGATTTATATTTCGTGAGAATTATCACATTTCATTTTAGAGATGACACACTGTAAGAGATTATATTGTCAACTTACCTAGTTAAACGGTCTTAGCAATAAAAAATATTAATCTACACTATTGTATATTGAAGGTATTTATTCGTTGCTGAGATAGTTTTTGAAACAATTGAAATTGAAACAAATAATAATGCAAATTTGTTAAGATTAACGTTTTAATATAAATGAGAAGTATAGCTGGGTATTCCGTCTTTTACTTCACTGGATATCATTGTGCAAACACGGATCTACATCTGAGTAAAAATATCTGTTCTTTTTAAGCCTTTTTTCAAACGAATTGACTCCTACTTACGGCGCTAATTTACATCGTAAAACGATCAAAAAGATTATGTCAGCACTTTTTCCCAATACAATGTTATTTTGTATTAATATATTTTAAATCAATAAAACATTCTTTACATAGAACAAAGATACCATTATCATTTATATTACAGGTGTGAAATAAATATATTCGTAAAGGTTTTAGAACAAACACATATAACTTATCATCCGTCATAGATTAATCATTTCATTCAAATCCTGTGTAATGGTTGCTAATAAATGACATCTTTATCCTAATAATATAAAATAATTTTGAAATTTGCGTTAGAAAAAAATGTATAAATGTATACGCATAAAAAATGCTTGTGTATAGTCTTTTTGAAAGTTGTGATAACTATTTCATGACACTATTTAAACAGGATTTTAAATTCTCTTTTTCAGATACACACATGCCGAAGAAGATTGTAATATCTGGAGATAACATTTCCAACGTCACGAAATAGACACCGTCACACTGGTCTACGTAACATTCCTATAGATGATTGATATATTTAAGTGCTTTTAAGAACTGTGTTTGAATGACGAATTTCTGTGAATGCGGATTTTTAGTTTTAATTATTATTAATTATACTTTCTGTAATAATCAATTTGTGCTATGGACTCATTTTCCTAAAATAATATATGAATGTTAACACGAACAAATGATATGAATATCTTCAAAATATTTTATGGGTGTAATACAAGTGGCTCATAAAAATCATTGTTGAGATAAATAGAATCGAACTTCAAGTTGGTATAGTTTGTTCTAGATTAAAACAACATGCAATTCATAAAGGTTACGGCTTGAAAATATCGAAACATGTACATGTATAACTCGATCTCTAAAGAAAATATCGCAGTGCGGATTTTCTCCACTGTGATACGTATTTCATGACTCTGTATCGCATCATACCGGTATATCGCCGTTCCGTTGCAACGCTACATTAATTTGTCCCTCTGGAATAAGGCTTGCAACAATATATGACTGTTGTAGCGAAGACATGTTTATTTTGTTTAATATATGTATACATATTGAATATATGTTTATGAAATAATAAATATTTAAGAGTGACTCGATTTGGTTTTTACTTTATTATTTGAAATACTCCAATTGTCAAGATAAAGTTCTTAAGCATATGACTTTACAGTTCCCATTCAAAATTTGTAATAAAACATGTTCTATTGTACAAGTCTGCATTTCGGTCATGTATACGTGTCACTTATATGTAAATGCATGCTTTTGATTTTATCTGTATCTTCTTTTATCAAGAAAATACAGTTCTGTATTCCCTGTGGACAACTAAAAAACGCAATTCCGTATATCCCCTGTATATATTGAAAATACGATTCCGTATATCTCCTGTATATGTAGAAAATACGATTCCGTATATTTTCTGTATATGTAGAAAATACGATTCCGTATATCATCTGTATATGTGGAAAATACGAGTCCGTATATCCTCTGTATATGTAGAATATACGGTTCCGTATATCCTCTGTATACGTAGAAAATACGAGTCCGTATATCCTCTGTATATGTAGAAAATACGGTCCCGTATATCCTTGGTATATTTATAGTAAACTAGAGATAACAACCTTAATATAGTCCGTATACGGGATTTTATTCTCCGTATACTTCAAAAGTACGAACAAATATACGTACATGCATATACGGACTTCCCGTATACCCGGTGTTCCCTATTCGGACTTCGCAGTGAATAAGAGCTTTTTTGCCCGTTTTTGTGTTATCCTTGGTTTTGTGATGAGATAGTAGCAGAGTTAGAAAATGTCAACATTTGGTCGGGTGGCAAGAGTGAGGTTTGTTTTGAGCCGCGTCACGACAAAATCAACTTAATGAGTTTGCGACCAGCATGGATCAAGACCAGCCTGCGCATCCGCGCAATCTGATCAGGATCCATGCTTTTCACTTTCAGACCCTATAACAAGTAGAGAAACTGATAACGAACAGCATGGAACCTGATCAGACTGCACGGATGCGCAGGCTGGACTTGATCCATGCTGGTCGCAAAACCATTATGTTGGTTTTGTCGTGACGCGACTCAATTTTGTATTTTGTTTTATCATAACTTATTATTTTATTAAAACATAAAACTGTTTAATGATAAACTATAATACATGTAAAATAAATAACTGGATTTTGTTTATAGACATTTGATTAATGAGCTAGTGATTTTAAAATATCAAATTTGGCTGTATGTTTTAATTGACATTTGTAATAAATAACAAACATTAAGTTAACTGAAAGCTGTTAAAGCTTGATTTTATTTTTTTGCTCTATCAAATTAAAGATATGTTACCCGGCTGTAACCCAAATTGTCGAACCCCTGTCACCAGTATAGAGCCAGTGTGCAGTCTGACCAGGCTCTATACTGTTCATAATTCGTAATTTTTATATTTAAATATTGAAATCCCTTCAATTTCATTGATTTTGAAATTAAAAACCTGTCAAAATCATTCCATAAGTTTGGCAGATTATTGATTGATTTCATGATAATTGAGTAATTATTGGTTAAAAATTGGTTGATAATTGGTTTAAAATTGGTTAATAATGGTTTATACGTGGGGTGTCCCAGAATTACGTGGACTTTTGCTGTAACTCAAAAACGACTGAAAATAAAAACAAACAAAATTAACATGAACAAAATGCAACTTTATTGCATGAGTACAAAAAAATTCAAAATTGTCCGGCAACTGGATCAGTGTCTGTGGGCTGGGTAATGAGACAAGGGGTAGCGGGTGCGGGGCAGCCCATTCCGACGTTACGACGTCATTTCGGTGGCGTCGCTAATTGTTAATAAATGCGTGGCGTCGAATGTCAGTTATTATCAACATAGTCGCCGCCTTACTCAATACACCTTTGGTGTCGATACATCCACTGGTCGTACACCGCCCTGTACCACTCCTTGTCGAAATCAGCCACCACTGATAATAATAATAATAATAATAATAATAAAGCATACTATTAACCTTTGTTACGATAATAGTGTTAAAGATGATTGTGATAATGCTGACGCCGTATTATTATTATTATCATTATTATTTATATTATTATTATTAGATTACTCTTTTTATTATTATTATTATTATTATTATTATTATTATTATTATTATTATTATTGTGGAGTTTATTTTGTACGCAAAGACAGTGTGCGTTAACAAGGGAAATAACTAAGTCATTATCATGCACTGCTTACTATGGAAGTTTGAGTTCACTTTCTTAAAAACTGAAGCGGATAAATTGCGTTTAAAATAATAAATTGTGATTAGCTTAATCTTTAAAAATCATTTTTTTAAACACAAAATTTACAGTGTAACGCCTGTCCCGATCTATGACGTCCTTGACTTCCTTAACTGACGACACAGTCAACGTTGACTTTCTCCCGCGACCCTTGTCGTGTTCAATGTCCTCCCGGCCGTCTCGAAAACGCTTATGCCACTTGAAAACGAGTGATCGACAAACAGGAGGTCTCACTTTTGCAGTCTCTAACATTTCCTGCGTCTGTGTTGGCGTCTTCCCAAGATAAACACAAAACTTGATGATAGTCCGATGCTCCGCGTAATCCGTGGACGTCATTTTTTGTTAAATATCAAATAGCAACGGTTGTCAGTTGTCCGCTGGTAAACAATAACGGAAACAGCTATGACGTCAAAATTTCAAACAAACGTTTATATGACGCCACTGCATATGCTTACGACGTCGCGCCATTTTTTACGTATAAATACGCAAGATATACGAAATTAAAGACAACTTATTAATACAAAATATTTGACTGCCCCGCCCTGCGCATACTGCGTTACTATAGCGACGTAAAATATAAAGAAGCAATGTTAGAAATTTCAAAATAATGGACATATTCATTAAGGATATGTTAAAGGTATTGTGTACAAATTTGCTAAAAATGCATTAAAAAATAAAAAAATTATAGCAAAAGTCCACGTAATTCTGGGTCACCCATCGTAATTGCATTTGTACATTTGTAATTGGTTAATTATTGGTTGATAATTGGTTAATAATTGGTTTATAATTGGTTAATAATTGGTTGATAATTGTTTTCTTGTAAACTAAAGTATTGATTAAGTAGAGTATTATTTTAGGATACTAGGTTAGCCGGTGGTTATGAGAATGTACCTACTGACGATGTCCATATGACACAGATTAACCTACAGAATCAATGGCTGGAATTGTTTATGTAGCTCCCCTAGCAACCAAAGTTTATCCTGGATACTATAGTAATGTAGGAATACTGAAGTTGTTAATGCATGTTAGAATTGATGCTTGACATTGCTAGCTCTTGCATACCCTCCCCATACTTACCCTCATTAACAAAACTATCATCTTTGTCTCTAGGATGTATTCCAGCATGTCAGATTAGGAGCCTGAATTTCTACTTGCCTTTTTATTGCTGTCTTAAAAATGTCATAAATTGAGTTGCCATCTTGTAGAAACTTAAATAAAACAAGTCTACCAAAAAGTATTAAAGTGAGCCTGTGACAATATAATACTTCTTGGACAAGTTATGATGTAAGTTTCTATGAGATGACAGTGAATGTAAGATTCTTTGAGCCGCGTCATGACAAAACCAACATAATGGGTTTGCATCCGCGCAGTCTGATCAGGATCCATGCTGTTTGCTTACAAACCCTATAACAAGTAGAGAAACTGATAGCGAACAGCATGGATCCTGATCAGACTGTGCGGATGCTCAGGCTGGTCTGGATCCATGCTGGTCGCAAACTCACTATGTTGGTTTTGTCGTGACGCGGCTCATTTATTATCAGAATTTTATGACATGACATAAAAAAAGGAAAAGGGGAAATCTTTTGAAAGCAGTGTAATTAAAATTGGAGAGGTAACAAATTGCCAACTTAAGGGTTTTTTTGTTTCTATATTTGAGGGATACTAAATCTCCCATGCTCTCCAGTGTTAGCTTATGTGACATTAAATTGTACAATTTGATTTAAGTAATGGAACCAATGATCTTGACTGGAAAAATGTGTAACAGCATCATAAAGTTTTAAAAACATGGCAAAATTGCCATTTGAATTACATGTTCTATTGAATACAAAATATGTCATGTGGTAAAAATATTGTTTGTTTCAAAATGAATGAAAAGATTGTCATTTATTATAGGTTCACATATGTGATGACAATGTTTTCTCAACCTTCATGTATAACTGCATGATTTTACTTTTTTTTTCTGTTACTGTCACAGATGTGGTGTTACAGCTAGTAACTGTAACAGATGCGGTGTTACCACCAGTAACTGTAACTGATGCAGTGTTACAGCCAGTAACTGTTACAGATGTGGTGTAACAGTCAAGTAACTGTAACAAATGCGGTGTTAACGCCAGTAAATGTAACAGATGTGGTGTTACAGTAAGTAACTGTAACAGATGTGGTGTTACAGTCAATAAGTGTAACAGATGTGGTGTTACAGAAAGTAACTGTAACAGGCTCTAAAAAGTGTTCAAAGAATTTAATTCCATGCAGAACTCTGCCATGGCAACCAATAGAAAAAACTTAAAATATCTTCTGTTAAAAAACCCAAAGATGTAGAGCTTAGATATTTGGCATAAAACATCTTCTGGTAAGTGTCTATCAAGTTTGTTCAAATAAAAGCCCTGGGGTCAAAATTAGCCCCGCCCCGGGGGTCATTGATTTTCCCTATATGCATATAGTAAAATCTTAAAAAAATCTTCTTTTAAAGAACCCAAACCCAAGGTAAAAACTTATAAAATCTCCTTTTAAAGAACCCAAAGAGATAAAGCTAAGATATGAAGCATGAAATTTCTTCTAATGGATGTCTACCAAGTTTGTTCAAATAAAAGCCCTGGGGTCAAAATTGGCCCGGCCCCTGGGGTCATTGATTTTCCCTATATGCATATAGTAAAAACTTATAAAATCTCCTTTTAAAGAACCCAAAGAGCTAGAGCTTGGATATTTAGAATGACCGATGTTCTAATGGGTGTCTACCAAACTTGTTTAAATAAGAGCCCTGGGGTCAAAATTGGCCCCACCCCAGGGGTCATTTATTTTCCTTATATGTGTAT